GCTGACACTGAAGTATAGTGAAAAGTTGGATTTAATATTTCTAGAATGTCACGTTTCCAGGTCTCAGCATGTTGTCACACATAGTTTAGATGTCTACACTGGAACAACTGCACTCAATAGATACAATCAGCAAAAACACTATATACATTGAAGAGTGTGTGTTTATTTAGAAGTCTCCCGTGGTGTCCTTTGGCTTTGGTGCAAAACAAGTATTGCCTTACTGACTTGTCAAGGCAGTAGAATCTTTAGGGTGGGATGAATGGTAAATGAACAGAACCACCTTAACCTGAAGATAGATCAAGATGGATGAAACTCAAGGCAAGGCAGACATCCTAGACTTCTGATGTGATGTGAAGAGCAAAGCAAAATTAACATCCAAGACATAAATTCATATGTTACACTCAGTGGTGTTTCCTGGTTTTGTGCTGCCCTAGGCAGGACAAAACTCAGGCACCCTTCCCCCCGCCCCGCCTTCTAAATACACACACACTAACAGACACACTCACATTCACTAACAGACACACTCACTGACACACATACTCACAGGCAAACACACACACTAACAGGCAAACAGTCAGACACACACACACTAACAGACACACACTCACAGGCAAAAACACACACACTAACAGACCCACACACACACACTAACAGACCCACACACACTAACACAGTCAGGCACACACACACTAACAAAACACACACATTAACAGACACACTCACAGACATATACACACACTCACATTAACACATTTTTATTTTATTTTTATTTACCCCCCCCCTCCCCACCGCCTTACCTTTGGGAATGCTGGGTGGGGGAGGGGTTCCCTCTCTCCCTGGTGGTCCAGTGGCTGCTGGGCGGGCGGCTGGCGAGGGAGCTCTTCCTCTGAGCGGTCTGCTCAGCTCCCTCGCGCGCCGCAAAGTGAGGCTGGGAGCCGGAAGGTCATCTTCCGTCTCCCAGCCTCACTGTGCGGCGCGCGAGGGAGCTGAGCAGACCGCTCAGAGGAAGAGCTCCCTCGCCAGCCAGCCGCCCGCCCAGCCCAGCGCCCGGCATGTCAGTTAGCCGCGAGGCATTTGCCGCCCCCTGGAATGCCTTGTTTGCCTCGCGGCTAATATGCACATGGTTACACTAGTGTGACCATTCAGGGTACGCCCATGTCAAGAATAATACAGTAAAACATGGTTATTTCCATCTTATGGGCTCAGAGTGCATGCGCCTTAGCCACACAATGTATTCCTATGGGAAAGCATTGGATTGGCTGAGATCATCGATCTTGATGAGCTCAGCCAAAGAGGTGGGATGGCAGTGCAGAGACCAGGGCTCTGAGGGTAAAGTAAAAAGGCATTTTAGCTCTTAAATAAAAAAAAAAATTGTAAACAGGGCACTGTAGCTTTAGGATTATGTGTATTCCTTACACTATATAGTGTCCCTTTTTTTGTTTTATCAGAGAGTTAAGCTGCCTGAGAAGTAGGGAGCAGGATCTTTGACAGTGTGTGTATAACCCACCTAGCCATGGGGAGCATGTCCAAGACATCTGGAGCTAGCATGCGGTGTGTTCATGCTACCTTTTTATTCTTTTTTGCTAGGTAATAGCGCAGGATAGGCATTTACTTATGGTAAGGGCCAGACTAGGAATGAAGTTCGACCAGGGTATTTTTTAGTCACAGCGGCCCACCAAAATGGGGGTGAGGTCAAAGAGGGGGTGGTTTGTCATCACCAATGTCAAGCACGTCCTCTCTCAAAGTGACCATGTTGGTTCAATGCTCTTGAAGGGTGCAGTGTGTGTAAGGTGCAATGTGTACAAAGGGTGCAGTGTGAATGTCTGTGTGTGTTTTTGGTGTGCAGTGGGGGGAGGAGGAGTGCAGTGTGAGAAAGGTGCAGTTTGTATGAAAGGTGCAGTGTGTGTGTGTGTGTGTGTGTGTGTGTTTGGTGTGCAGTGGGGGGAAGAGGAGTGCAGTGTGAGAAAGGTGCAGTTTGTAAAGTGTGCAGTACGTGAAGGGTGTAGTAAGTGTGTTTGGTGTGCAGTGGGGAGAGAAGTGCAGTGTGTGTGAGGGGGGTGGTGTGTAGTCCATAGGTCCACCCAGCCCAGCGGGCTGAAGGGACTTAAGCCCCTTCAGCCACTTGCCTTTATCCAGCGCCGGGCTTCCTCGGTGCTGTTGACTTCTCCTCCCCCTCCGATGTTGGCTCCCGAGTGGAGCCGAATGCTCATGCGCAGAAAGAGCCATGCGCACATTAAAAACACCCATAAGAAAGCATTACTCAATGCTTTCCTATGGACGCCAGCGTCTTTTCACTTTGACTTTCACAGTGAGAATCGCGGAAGCGGCCTTTAGTGGCTGTCAGTGTGACAACCACTAGAGGCTGGTTTAACCCTGCAGTGTAAACATGGCAGTTTCTCTGAAACTGCTGTTTTCAGCTGCAGGGTTAAAACCTGAGGGACCTGGCACCCAGACCACTTAACTGAGCTGAAGTGGTCTGGGTGCCTATAGTGGTCCTTTACGTGGTTTTGGTGTAAGCTTAATTAAGCAGTTTTGGTGTATAAGGCATGCCCCTGTAGTCTCACTGCTCCATTCTGAGCCATTTAGAAGTTAAAGGGGCACTATAGTCACCCAGACCACTTCAGCTCAATGAAGTGGTGTGGGTGCAATGTCCCTCAAGTTTTAACCCTTCACATGTAAACATAGCGTTTACATAGCAGGGTTAATCCAACCTCTAGTGGCTGTCTTCCTGATTTGCATCCAGCGTGCAGAACTTCCATAGGAAAGCATTGGACTGTTAAAATGCTCCGCGACATGCACATGCGCATTCTGGTCCACTCGGGAGCTGAAGTCGACAGGGGAGGAGAGGTCACCAGTGCCGAGGGAGCCCTTCAGTGCATAATATGTTTACGCCATTTTGTCCCAGACGAATTACAATAACGCATAAACAAGCTTCAAGGCTATGCTACGACTCTCAGTACATAATATACTGTGGGAACCCTTAGTAGGTAAAGATGTTCAGACTTTAAGATGCCATCTTGATCTAAGTCATGAAAATTTCCATGACGTGTACACCCTTTAGTTATGGCCTTGTATTTTTGCTAAGTTAAGGTAGGTCCTAAAATGAATAAAGTAAAAAAAGTGTTATTTTTTAATATATTTGAATAACAGTAATCCTAAAATGAAGACACCTAGGGTATAAATAGGTGTACTTTTAAATGTTAAGGAACAGAGGAGAGACTTGGAGACAGACGCTGCTCCATTTTAAAATGACAGAGGCTGACATGATGACATGTTCAGGGGGGAATGTTAATATATTAATTGTAACGGACTGTTTTGCACACAAGAGGTTAAAAACCGTTTAGGCAATATTCCCCTTTTCAGATGCACAGGCAGCTACTTCAAACACATGAATTCACCAGTCTCCCGAACTGCAAACACATGAATTCACCAATCTCCCGAACTGGAACCAGGGGAATGCTCCAAACTCCCACATAGGAAACACACGAATGCTGTAAACAGCCGAACAGGAAAAACAATACGAACAGTTTACACTCCTGGCAGTCGCATTGTAACAGCATACAATCCAATTCCCCCCCAGAACGAGACGACACTTCGTTTGAGGGACAAGCAGAACTGATTTACTGGGCCTACCTGCCCGGCTTTTATGCAGGTCTCCCACTTGGTGGACACTCCCCTCGGGGACCAGATGGAAGACTGGGAAACATATTGGACATTGACCAATCACAAGCTTACATTCTCACAATGCATCACAATCCCTCCTCTCTATACTAGAGATAATTAGGAAATAATCTAATTATCTCCAAGGACAGAGGCAAAACTCCATTAACCACATGGCAGACAAAGGACAATAAAAGACATACTGTTACAGTTATCACATAGAACATACACATTCTACCTATCCCCAGATAGCTTAGATCTATATCGCGACTTTATGAAAAATAAAACTATAATAATATGAAGGTGATATTAGCTCCTTCCTGTCATACTACGTTCCTTTTTCTTAGATATACAACTGCTTTATTTGCATTTCAGTGTTTGCTACATTACTTATGTCATTTATTGCTTACATTACTTATGTCATTTATGACTTATTTTTTTTCAGTTTAGCATTGATAAAAAAAAATCTGCTTATTGTATATTTTTCTATTCCTTTTTTATTTTTGATATGGGGTTCCCTTAAATGTTTGCTAATTGTAAAGAAACCTAGGTGGATTCTTGGCAGGTACAGATGGGAAGCATCTTCAAAATTTGTGTGCTACTGAAGGACATTTATATGGTTATTGTGGACATGCCTAAATACAGTGGTAATCAACATTATTTTTATCCCCCATAGAAAATCAGGTTTATTGTCAGACTTTCAGCAGTGTTCAATGAACAAATCTATCAAAAGCAATTGAAATGGCTCAACACAACGGATGCTTCAAGTTTTTCCCCCAAATTCAACAGAAAATGCAGCTTATAATAACTTATCCAGTCTCAAAATTATTCAACTCCCTAAATAGAATCCCTCACAACGGCACAAATATGCAAAGCAGGTGATGTCTCATGCATGCCTAATGCAACTAATCAAGGGCTTCATTAGTTGCACCCAAGTGTGCTTGAGCTGGAACACTTGAAATACCTTAACAGGCTACGGGTTTATTGAGTGTCACGTTTGACTACATGTTAGAAATATGGGTAAGTCAAAAGAATGGTCCACAAAGTTAAGAGATCACCACCCTTCACAAACGAGGAACAGGATACAAAAAGATAGCAAATGCACTGAATTGTCCTAGAGACACTGCTGGAAGCAAAGTTCGCAAGTTCAAAGTTGAAGGAACAGTGGTTACACTGTTTTCTGAGAAGGCAGGCTGTGAAAAACCCTTGAGTGACTGCAAAAGACCTGCAGCAAGACCTGGTGGCAACAGACATTGAGGTTTCAGCGAGCACAGTTAGGCGCTTAGTAAGCGCAGAAGGTTTCCATGCCAGAACCCCAAGATGTACACAACTACTGACCCAAAAGCACAAGAAAAGCCGGATCCAATATGCTCAAAATCATATAAATAAGTCACAAACGTTTTGGGATTCTACTGTCTAGTGATTACACAAAACTGGAACTTTTCGTCCCAATGGATCAGCGGTATGTCTGGTGGAAGAAAAATGAAACGTACGCTGAAAAGAACACTGTCTACAGTGAAGCCTAGTGGTGGCTCAGAAATGCGCTGGGGCTGCTTTGCATCCTCTGGCACTGGAAACCCACAGCGTGTGGAAAGCAAGATGGATTCACTGAAGTATCAGGAAATCCTAGGACAAAACAGAATGCTGCCTTTGAGGAAGCTGAAGCTTGGGCGTCACTGGACCTTCCAACAAGACAATGATCTCAAGCACACCTCATATTCCATCAAGGCTTGGTAGCAGTAGTAGTCCTGGAAAATTCTACAGTGGCCATCACAGTCACCTGACTTAAACCCCATAGAAAATCTCTAGAAAAGAAGGCGGTTGCAGCACACAAACCCAATAATATTACTGAACTGGAAGCAATTGCTCATGAGCAATGGGCAAGGAATCCCTGGGATCGCTTCCAGAAGCTGGTGTCTGGCTATGCATATCGTTTGCAGTGGGAAATACCATCAAAAGGGTGCTCTACGAACTACTAAAGATGCTTGCCATGAAGGGGTTAAATCATTTAGAGACAGGAGAAGTCATTCTAAGTTGCATTTTCAATTGAATTTAAGGGAAGCCACATGAAAAACATTTGTTGTGTTGAGATAATTCGGTTGCTTTTGTTTGAGTTGTTCATTGCAAACAGCTGAAAGTCCGTAAATTTTTACAATAAACCTGATTTTCAATGGGGGTTGAATAATTTTGATTAAAACTGTACATGACCCATCTGTGGTCACGCACACTTGAAAATTCTAAAGGGAATTAACTAGACATGTGCACACATTTGCCTATCAACAAACGAATCAAAAGCCCCCCAAAAAAGAGGTGCAATGTCATGCCCAAAAGATACAACTCAAAATAAATACAAGAAGTATAATATGGAATAGGGGTGTTGCAGTTTGAATAGCTCAAACTTCCATAGTATCAGAAGCAAGCGCACAGTTCATTCTGAAGCAATCAAACGCACAGCATTATCAGTTGGAGGTTACAATGCAGACTATGTAAAATATCAGATTTGAATGGATATTTGGGTTTTAACTGCGGTGTCTTGAAATACCATGTTTTAGTCTTTATTTTAATGGATTTTCTTCTTGAAGGGCCACTGCTAGCCGATGATGGCTTGCTGTCGTGTTTATGTGTCCTAGAGTTCCTTGGTGCCAACCTATGATTTAATATTAAACTGCTTAAGAACAGTTTGCTAGAAACCATGAGTCTTTCCAGCACTGAGTGACCACCTCCATCAAGACCAGAATTAACATTCCCACATCATCAATGCCAATCTCATCCAACCTAGAATGCAGCACTTTCAGCCACTTTCTGAACTATAAAGATCTAAACGTTTAGCAATCGCACTCAATAAAATCTAATGTTCTGACATGGTCTTCCTAACATAGTTTGTTGATAGGCAAACCATTTGAGCCACATATCCGATGATCATGATGTTAAAAAAAAAAATGTAAGACTCCAAGCAGTTAAATAGTCAGGATGCAAGAAAACAACAATAATAATAATAATAATAATAATAATAATAATAATAATAATAATAAAAATAGACAATACATAGTCACATTTTAACAAGTATATGTTTTATTAGCATTTTTGGGAAGTTTTTATTTTTTTTAATGTTTCATTTTTTTGTGGGTAAACAATCCCATGTGTGTTTTCTTCTGAAGAGAGTTTTGTGGTGCCCTCAACGTTTTGTGATGACATTTGACAGTTTTATGAGACATCTTGTGTTGTGGTAAAAGATGAGTTTGCAAACTATGACCATAGTGTTAAAGATGAGGTTACAACTTATCCAGAAAGTTGTCCAGGAGAGGAATTCCTTCCTTTAGACCTTTGCGTTTGCGAGTTTCTGCAACAACTTGACATGGTCGAGAAGTTACATCGGAGGGATCTCCAGGCAGAATCTGCCAGTGATCAAAAACACACTGTGGGAACGCTTGTCCACCAGTGTTGGACCTTAAATCGGCTGTAAAACCTGGTACAAACAAGGATGGCAAAATTGTCACAAAAGTCAATTAAAAAAAAACACATAAATCAAATCAAAATAAATAAATCAACATTACAATCAAAGCATAGTACGCATTTCACTTTTCTTTTGTCTGATTTGCAAACATTAAGCTTCAATTAAAAAAACTGTACTATACAGTGTCAATATTGCGGACTAACAATTTTAGTCAAGTAAAATTTTTGAGATTTAGTTGACTAAAACTAAAACAATTTAGAGGACTAAAATGGGTTTTAAGTCAAAAGACGATGACTAAAACTAAATTGAAATTTGACTCTAAAATTAACATTGGCGTGTGAGGGAGTCACAGAGGGGCTGGGAAAGGGACAAAAGAGACAGACGGGCTTGGGAGAGATGCATCCAGAGGGGCTGGAGGACACAAAGACACAGAGGGACTGGGAAAAGGGCAAAAGAGACAGAGACTTTAACTAAACCCATCAGATTTTAACCGTGTCGACTAAAATCTACTGGAGATTTAGTAGACTAAAACAATTCAGATGACTAAAATACAACTAATACAGCTCTTTAGTTAAAAGACTATGACTAAAACTAAATTTGCCGCCAAAATTAACATTGATTTTACGTAAATTTGCATTTGCCAAAATTGTATAATTATTTGTATGTCGGAGGCTGTGCAAGCTTCAGCCTTAATACTAATATATCGATGGACATTATTGAGAAATCAGAATCAGAGATCAGGTATGTGCACCTTTACAAGTAAATATTTACTAGATAGATTGCTAGGTTAAATTTGTATACCTAATGCGGACCATGCCATTTAAATTTTGTCCCCTCAGGCATCCAAACCTCTACTGTTTAGCGAATAAATCCCACTGTAAACTCACTGTGGGGTATGGTGGTCTAAAAGAAACCACTGATAAGTTAATTGTGGATAACATTGCCAAATAAAGGAAAATTATATAAAATGTTGGCACAGAAAATGTAAACTGTAGTAGCATAAATCGCCAGTAAAAGTTAAACAAAAAGATGGTCATACATACCGAATGATTCATTTACAGGAAGATACGCTTTCACAACAAACATTGGTGTTCCAGCAACTTGAGATTCTTCAAACACATGACCGCGTTTCCTGTTCAATACGCCATAGATCCCACCAACTACCTGTTCTGGGCACTAGATAAAGTATTCAGAGAAAGAGCCAAACATTTACATCAACAATGACAGCACTATTTCCTATACTACATACTGGTAGATTTGTTTTTACACAATTTTATTGTATTGTCTGGCACTGATCTATTATTTCATTCATGTCATTGTGTGAAAAATACGTTTTAGAAAGGAGTTACCAAAAGGAATTATATATAAAACATATGAAGCCACGTTCTTTCTCATCCGGATGTAATTAGAACATCATAACAGGTATTGCATCTTTTTACATAAAAAAAATAAAAAAAATTTAAAGGAACACTATAGGGTCAGGAACACAAACATGCATTCCTCACCCAATAGTGTTAAAAACATCATCTAACCCCACCTGAATAATAAAATCTTACCTTTACTCTGATCTACTGCTGCTGGCTCTGCCCCTGATCTGCCTGCTTGGCTGACATTATCAGAAGTTGTGTTCTGACCCAACAAAAATGCTTTCTCAGAGGAACGTATTGGATTGGCTGAGACTATCAAGGAGGCAGATCAAGGGCAAAGTCAGCACAAGCCAAACACTGCCATGGCCAATCAGCAGCTGCTCATAGATATACATTGAATCAATACATGTCTATGAGTTAAGAGACCACTGTGAGGTCAGGAAAACAAACATGTATTCCTGACCCTATAGTGTTTAACCCACCATTTAGGTGGCTTGCCCCCTCTAAAAGATTAAAACGTACCATATTTCCAGAGCCGCGCAGGTCTGGGGTGACGCCCCCTTTGTAACATCACAAAAACTGACGATTTTTAGCCAATCCAATGCTTTCCTATGAGGAAAGCATTGGATTGGCTAAAATCGTCACGGGGCAGGGCCAAACAACGTTTTGGCCAATCAGCACTTCCTCATAGAGATGCATTGAATCATGCAGAGCGTGTCCATGCTGAACCTTAGTGCTGCTAATTCGGCAGCACTGACCCATGAAGCACCTCCAGTGGCCATCTATGGAGTGGCCACTTGGAGTTGTCCCTAGAGGCAATGTAAACACTACCATTTCTCTGAAAAGGCAGTGTTTACATGAAAAAAGCCTGAAGGGAACTATTATACTCACGAGAACAACTACATTAAGCTGTAGTTGTTCTGGTAACTATAGTGTCCCTTTAAGTTTAATGTCTCCATGCAGAGAGTTGAGACACTGAATGGCAGTACTGCACACTGTGCATCACTGCCCCAGGAAGCACCTCAAATAGCCATCTGAAGAGTGGCAAGTGGAGATCTCTTTAGGCTGTAATGTAAACACTGCATTTTTTCTAAAACGACAGTGTTTACAGCAAAAAGACTGAAGAGAATCCTTATACTCACCAAAACAAATACAATAAGCTGTAGTTGTTCTGGTGAATGTAGTGTCCCTTTAAGTATTTTTCCCATGTCATATTATTTTCAATTTCAGTGGAAATTTAACTTTTATGGGGATTTTATTTGTTTTAAGGTATTTTTGGGGTTTTGTAAAACTGTGTGTTTTTTGTGTTTGGAGATAATTGAGTTTAGTACAGTGCCTGACTCAATTATCTCTTAAGTAAATGGGAAGGCTTATTGTATAGTATGTGGGAGTGTCATACATTGTAAATGTGTTATCATTGGTGTATAAGTTTATGTCCCTGTCCCCAACAAGGTCCATGTGGACGTACACCTTGCTTGGGGACTTGCATAAAAGGCCAGTGTGGCTACCATTAAACCAGTTCTGCTTTACCCTCAACATGGAGCCTCGCCTTGTGTTTGTAGGGACCTGCTATACAAGCTAGCTCTAATAAGAGCTTCACAGCTATAATCTCTTGGAGGAGAGGTTCACTGGAAGCTGGATCCTGGTCTTTGGTCCAGGATGGGTGGAGGACGGCGAGATCCCCAACCAAGCTGTGGCGGTTGTGGGACTGTGCAATGCTGATGGTGTCTGGTGGAGTGCTTGGAGCCCTCTGTGAGCATTAGGATCATCGATTGACGGAGGCACCCAGTCGGGGTGGCAGGCGATCTGTCACATCATCCAGGATATCTCTTTATGCCCAAAAGCCCCGTTACTATTGTCCTTGCACAGTACTCCAATTCCTCTAATTTTAAAACAAAGCCCATCCTGCCTCTACTCACGATTCTGTGTTGGCATTTTCCTGTAGTAAAACCCAACCAATATATTTGCTTTATAAAAAAACTAAACACTTGGAAACACTTTGAAACAAGAGGCAAGGTCTGAAAACAGAGCACAGACACCTTTGAATCCAGAAAACTACATGGTTCTTCATAGAAACATAGAATGTGACGGCAGATAAGAACCATTCGGCCCATCTAGTCTGCCCAATTTTCTAAATACTTTCATTAGTCCCTGGCCTTATCTTATAGCTAGGATAGCCTTATGCCTATCCCACGCATGCTTAAACTCCTTCACTGTGTTAACCTCTACCACTTCAGCTGGAAGGCTATTCCATGCATCCACTACCCTCTCAGTAAAGTAATACTTCCTGATATTAATTTTAAACCTGTCCTCTTGTTGTGGTAGTTTTTCTTCTTTTAAATATAGTCTCCTTCTTTACTGTGATGATAGCCTTTATGTATTTAAAAATTTCTATCATATCCCCCTGTCTCGTCTTTCCTCCAAGCTATACATGTTCACTATTGACTGAGAATACCTCACCTGAATTTCCACCAGATAGATGGGTTCCATCAGTCGGGGCTGGGCTGTGAGAGCTGCGGCATACAGGACTCTCCGGGCTGTAGGGATTATTTGTCCTCCTCCACGATGAATGGCATCAGCATGCAGGGTAACATCATGGATGTCGAATCGTGCTCCTCTCAGATTCTCTTCACACAGAACACCCTGAAATCACATTTGTATCTCACATAACTAATCAATTCTAAATCAGCAATGTTTCCAAGCTTTCCAGCAATACAGAGAACAGGAGTACATTCTTTAACACTAGTCTACCATCTCATTGCCCATCCTTTTTTATGACCGTGTTCCAGCAAAGAATAAATGTAACACTAAATTGTTGCTAATTTGATGCAGTAAATATTTAAAATGAAATACTTGTTCAAAGCTTAATGTTCTACATCCTATATAGTCAATGCTCCAAATGAACAAGTACTCAAATTCCACAGATCTCCTTATGCATTCAAGATCCACAAAAATGAGTACCATAGCATTAAGAAATGGTAACATAGATTAATCAGAACATTACATTTATTTTTAAATGGTTTAATTGTAAATTCTACAGTATCAACACTTGCTCCTTATTCAAAGTGTCAAAGCATTACACATTCCTATTTTATAAATGTCATATATTCATATAAAGTTGTAATGGCTATTTCTGTGTCCATTGCTCATTAGTGCTAGGAAGGACAAATCTACGAAGTGCAACCTATTCTCACCTCTTTGGTGGCCCACTGGAATCCTGCCACAACACTGTCCTTAATCTCATTGAGATATTGGACACCTTTAGTGACATCAACCAAGATATTGGGTCCTGTTCCATCAGGTCCGAAGCACCAGATCTTACGAGCCTCGGCAACGTCCCACTCATACTTCTCTGCCAGGTATCGGGCACGTATCTTTAATTCCTGACGGGAGCTCACGTCCCCTTTGTCAATGTCTTCTGCCAGTCCATCTGGGAAAGGCCTGGCTTTCATGTACAAGCGATTGTGCTTGTTAGGAGATTTGGATAAGCACAGCTGGTTGGACTCCTCGCTCACTGTCTCACGATAAGATACTACAGGATCTGATTTCTGGAAACACAGGTTTAATTTTAAACATGTAGACGATATCTATTATTGCTTAACTGATAAATGAAAATATGTTGACAAATTAATTTTAAGGACAACATTTAAATACATAAGATTCCTACACGAATTATTATAATGGGACCTATTCTACCTTTAACATTTACACAGTAAAAACATATTAAAATATCGGAGGAAAACGAAGATATAATTCTAAGCTAAACCATAGGGTTATTTTCATGGATATGAAATATCGATGTGCGGTCTCCAGAAATGCACTGTGGTTTCTGATATCCATACCTTGATTGGAATACATGCATGATCTTCTTCTAGATCTTTAAGGCAGATTTCAAGATGCAACTCTCCAGCACCTGCAATGATGTGTTCCCCAGATTCTTCAATTATACACTAAATATAAAAAAAGAGAACATTACATACATGTAGGGTGTATGATAAATAAAATAGACTATTTTACCAATATGTTTAGGACACATTCAGTACAGCACAAGCTGGAAGTTGTTCTATTTAATCTTATTTACCAGATTAAACTTTTATTTTATCCTGAGTCAGTTACCCACCTGAACCATGGGGTCAGACTTGGCCAAGCGCTTTAAGCCTTCCACCAGTTTTGGAAGGTCGGCTGGGTTTTTTGCTTCTACTGCCACACGCACAACAGGGCTGACACTGAATTTCATCACCCTCATATTATGGGCATGTTCAAAGGTGGTAATGGTGCCAGTCTTCACCAGAAACTGGTCTACGCCAACAAGACCAACAATGTTACCACAAGGTACATCCTCGATGGGTTCAACGTAGCGCCCCATCATAAGAATGGTTCTGTTAATAAAGAAACAAACTCAACAGGTTAACTAAGCTTTTCATCTTTCTGGGATTGATCAAAATGGTACAAGTAATACTACACATTAATCAGTATATACATGGAGTGCACTAAATGAATTAGATGGATTACAGTTATAAACAGTTATACACAAGGCAAAATCTCTCGGCTACTTTGGTACTTAAGGCACTAAATAATAGTGCAAGAGGCATCAGGAATCAAATGGTGAGATATGAAAATTGGGCAGACTAGATGGTCCAAACAGTTCTTATCTGCCGTCACATTCTATGTTTCATACACTTTCAGTATGCACTGAGATGGCCTTACCTCTGAATGGGTTTGAGATACAGATCTTCCTTCTTTCCAGGTGTATAGTTTGGACCCATGATGCGTACTTTCTGTCCTGTTGACACAACACCAGAGAACACCCGACCAAAAGCATAGAAACGTCCTTTGTCAGTGGTGGGGACCATCTTTGAGATGTACATCATCAGAGGTCCCTTAGGGTCACAGCTTTTCACACCTGTGTAAAAAGTGTAATCACATTATAGTGCAACATTCACTAATAAAGTCACATGACACCATAGGTATTATATGTGAAGAGCTAATTATGTCACCTTTAAATGCCCACTGGCTAGAACATAACTAACTTACATAGGAATCAGAAGAATAACTACAATTCTATCCAGGATAGACACCCAGTGGCTAAGGGAAGAATTGCGACAATACTTTTATAGTGCTATCTATATTACACACAGATGAGACACACTGTAAACCTGAGAAACCCATCAGCAGAGAGAGATGAACATGGCATGTAGGGCACTTTGGAACACTAAATGAATCTACCTGTAGCACTCATATCCAATGTTATACAACACCCAAGACTACACACATTCACAAAATTCAGAAAATCAACACATTTTCAGAGCTCCCCATTTGGAGTTTGCAGGAGAAAGGGAGACGAAAGGGAAGAACACAGTTTGGTGAAGTTCTACTTAATTCAAGAATGAAGTTGCCTTTGCACCTGTAAAGATCATTCTGTGTCCTATCCCTGCAACGAGAGGGAGCTACAAGCCACTGCGCATCGTCCAGGGGAGTATTAGGAACTTTGCTGCACCTATCTGCATGGTTCGAAACTTTTTAATTCAACAAAAATTAAAATACATTGGTCTTGCTTTTTTCCCCCAACGTATACTTATATATGGATTATTGCCACTTACAATTCGGGCTTCATCAGCTGGGTAATATGTGGCGAGAGCCCAGCTGATGAAGCCCAAATTGTAAGTGGCGAAATGCGTCCTGGCAATAGCAAGTGTCTATTTAATTCTAACTTTTTAAGTAATTGTTGTTACATTTATTAAATTACATCTTTTTAACATTACTTGGCATCTTGTTCCTGCTATTGAGAAAGAAGGGAGTGTGGTCCTTTAACCACACACTGAGCTGTTCATAGAGCCTGGAGTTGGCTGCATCTTTGTGAGTATCCATTTGTGAAGTACCTGTTCTGAATTTGCAGTACATTACTCTATTACCATATGTACAAATTTCTTCTGAGCCAATATTTAGGACTTATTAAAAAAGTTTCCAGTATAAAGAATGGAAGGGTCACCTCCATGGACACCCAAGCTGTCTCCACTAGAGCTAAGTGTTTTAGCTCATGAAAGTGTGAGTGTTCAATTGTCTCATTTATCATTACGCTACTCTTCCACAAAGTTATACACTATTGTATCTATTTTTGTTCATTTAAAAAGGTACCAAGGTCTTCTTTAAAGACTCTCCCGTTGAGGTTAAGACAGATGTCTCAAGGTACTCTGTTGTTTCGACTTAAAACCTTTCTATTGGTAATAAGCGCCACACTGTTTTTATTTGTTTTTTTGTTGGGGTGTGTATGGAAAGATAACATCACAGTGTGATAGCAGCTGAATTATTTAAAAATCTGATATTCACATTTGTATAATATTCCTTGTACTAACCACTAGTACACATTACTTTAATTTTTCTGTTTCATATTGTAATTATCCGCCTTTACTCCGTAAATACTCCCTATAACTCAAGTGTTTTGACCTTACCCATAGCTGCTTCGTCATCAGGTGGCCCTTCATACAGCAGTTCACAGCGATATTTCTGTGCCGTCACCGGAGAAGGCAGGTGAATTGTGATCATCTGAAGCAAGGCATCTCCTGCTGGCAACCACCGACGCATTACAGCCTGCACAAAACAAACAATTACACCCACGCCGATAACTGGACCATACACCATGTTATAAGTCAACATGTACAACTGCGTATGTATGAATTCTTTGCACAAATCTTTAACCTGCCTATTCCATATATATCAATAAGCATGTTTCTGAGGTAGTTTTGAAAGGGGCACTGAATACCATAACCACTTCAGCCTACTACAGTGCAAGGGCCCTGGTGCTATACTTTAACCATTAAAAGTTCAGTGCCGTATCTTCACTCCTAGCTTCTGACACTATTTGAGGAGCTTCACTTCCTCAAAAGTCAAAACAATTTATTTGTTTTATTTCAAATTTATCCCACCACAAAGTCAAATTTGTGATGGCAACAATAAAGGCTCCTGGAAATTACAAAAGGGCATTTGAGTTCGTTCTTAATAATTTGGTAATTGAAGGTGATAATCCATTGCCGACATGCACTAGGTAATGTCTCTCTGCATACTTTATTTTGTAAGACATTATGCTGAGCAAATCAGCGTCTACTCTGCCAGGAGCCTTGCTGTGATAGGAGGAACACAGCGCTGTAACTGCATTACCCGCCTGGCTCAGAGCTCTGTTCACACATTCATTTGAGCAACTAGCAATGCTTGGTCACATCGTACAGAATATCTGGATGTTCGATGAGGATACAATGTACTCGATGCAATGGTTAGACTGGTTACATATCTCCATGCGCAGATCAGGGTGTAAATAAGGGTGTGATGTAGGCACGTGCACTCTAGTGGTCTTGGCTGTCTTTTTATCCTCGAATGCAGGAGGATGTCAAACAAATGCAGTTACCTCAACCTACTCCATTAACAAGGACTTTTCTTTATGTAAGAAGGACTTCCAAGGCTTAACGAAACTAGGTCCCTGTTGATTAGAGTACCCGCTGAACGGATACAAATTAACATAACTAAAGCTCAAGGTACTACCCCATTTTGTTTTCTCCAGATGGATTCTGAATGTTTTTTTTAAAATGGGGGACGGAGCCCATAACGTGAAAGCATAGCCACTACACTGGGCTATAGTGGGTATGTTGCTTACAGTGCCCCTTTAATGAACATCCAGTAAATCTGGATATTTGGGATAATTTGGGGGGGACCGGTTCACTTTTTGAAGTAGTACATTTTACAGAATTTACCATATAATATTTTCCCATTTTGTATTTACACCATGTGTAACTGCAGAAGATTATGTCCCTCAAACCCCTTGCACCCCACTTATTGAATAAGGTCACACCTGAAAGTTTGGGCTCCTGGATAGAAGGCAGTGGGATGGGGTGTCTGCTTACGTCGAGTGTGTTTACATGCTGGCAAACCATGTCCCTTGGTCAGAAATGTAATAGCCTGTTAGTGAAAGGGGCTCTCTGCCTGTCACTAACAGACTTTTTATCGGTTCACTTCTAAAAATGAGGGGAGAGAAACAAAACAACATACACATTAAAAACAGCAATGGCAAAGCAACAGAGGACACAATTATAACTGGCAATGGGAAAAGCAACAATGAAAGCAAGATGGCAGACTGACACATTGAATACTAGCAATATCGTGGGCCTATCATGACCAGAATCCTTCATTACAGTATTGTGTAGATTACTAAACTGCAATTCTTCTGTATATAGATTGTATTATACAGTGGGTACTTTTAATTTGGCTGGTGCTTTTCCCCACATTAGAAGGCTTTATATGAAAATTCAATTCAATATGCCAAATTATGGGCCTCTGCAGTCAGATAGGGTGGTGAGAGACAAAAAGTTTCTATTTCACCAGTCTTCCCCAAAATAATTAACGAATGAATAAAATAAAATTCACTTTTGCTGGGCTCTACCTTCAGGCTACAATTTAAAAATAATCTACATAATGCTGTAAAGGGGGAAAGTGTCCAATGGTTCACTTAAAACCCAAACAAGAAAGCAGTGCATTTCTTCTACTCCTGTCCTCAAATGGCTTGCTAGGTTCTTAGGCTATTCCTGTTACTGTGAAGTAGGATAATCACAGGCTCAGTCAATGAAGCTAATTCACCTGTGGTAAAGCGAAGAGATTGGGTCAGTGGAAATCCTTATCAGATGTTTCTCTCTTACAGAATCTGGGTGCTACGGCAGTACCAATATGTAAACAATCATAGTAAGGAACTATCATCACAGACTAAACTATTCGTTATTAGGTCATGCGTTACCTAGGAAATATGAGATTTCAGTTAAACAAACTGAACTTTGGCCCACGTGCGGCTTTTGATATAAACCTTGCAGCAAGATGAAGACAGGAAATGTAATGAATAAATAAAATTCTATTTTGCTAAAACAAACAATCTCGGCAATATTTACATCAATAATACATTAAAAAGACATGCCCGTTATAAAAGCTGATGTATAAAGTGAACATAAGGACAAGCATGGGAAATACAGGTCTAGCTAATTTTTCTTAAGCCTGTTCAATCCTTTAGAGAAAATGTCCATGTTTTCTGTTTGGCAGTTTACTTTCAATCACCCAAACATATTCTCTGATCAGCTATTACAGCAAACAAATGTGTGTTGGGGGAATAAACCGAGAGGGGAAATAAGTAAATAAGGGAGCTTATACACAAGCAGTGCCTTTAGTTAACAGACTGGTCTTCTTTCAACTAGCACAAAATATAGCATAAAAATAACAGTATAGGAAAGGGTTAAAAACAATACTTTGACTTTATGGCATTAGCTTTAACAAACTAATCACAGCGCAGACTGGCAGGGATGAAGCATGTGTACGTCACTTATGCCTTTATATACGTCACTGTGTTCCCTTGCCACCCTTCTGTGTTCAAGAGATGGAAATGTCCTACGTGCTCGTAGAAGGTACTAATAGCAAAGATAATTGGAGCAAACAACTGGGCACTTGTGACACATAGCAGTAAAAAGGATTATTAACCTTGTAGTCATTTTCCTATCACATGCAGGTGGAATTCGCCCTTCTTGGACTACAAGGCAGATATATCGGACATTAGCCAACATACCTGTGCTGAGATGAGGGTCATTTTAAAGTTAATTAAAAACAGGCTTGAGAAACTAAAATATGCAACAAAAAACAAAAACAAAAGCAGTAGCAAGCAAACACAACTTTCCCCTCTACAAACTCGATTTTTCTCCAAATGACCTATCTGGATAATGTGTCACACTTTAACTGTATATAAAGGTGATCACATTACCGTTTTTATTTACGCTGGTAACATCAAGGGTCCATTGGAGGTTTACTCCATTAACAGCTGAAGAGACACAAGGATGTCTATCTGTAAATGACTGCTAGTAGCTTGTGGATGTTTAATGTTTTTTTCAGCTCTGGAAAATGCCGATTGCTCCCAATCGATGACACCTCGTCTGATTCCAGTCCATTTGCTGTGCTCCACATCAGGCTCCACACTTACCTTAAGAAGCTGTTTGCCTTCCTTTTCCTTGTCCTCTGCATCAAGCTTGATATCCAGTTTTTCTATCAGTTTGGCAGTTTCGTCTTTTTTAAAGTTCATAATGGCATCAAATATCTAGAGGGAAAAACAGTGCAATATCCCAATGTTATACAGGTGCGTTTAATATGTTTTAATGATTATTTAAACAAGACAGCAGCCATGAAAACTATGAAGCAAGAGCAGTTCGATTCAATACTCAGAATTTGTATTTGAAATGTATAATCAAATTGTGAAAAGTTTAGAAAAGTTATATAAAATAGATAGATAGTTTATAACACAGTGAATGACTGGTAGAAGTCATGTTCAATGCTGGCCGATTTCTGGGATGGAAATTTCGTGCACACAACACATGAGTTTGACATCTCTGTTACAGATCACACGGCCCTTGTATTAACTCTTTGTGTAATGTGAGTAATTTCGATTGGAATAGAATCAGTCCTAAACTAAACAAACTAGAATAATTCGTTTTGATTTTCACATTCTGATTTTTTTCTCTGATGCATGGTTTTTCAGTGAAATGCAAAAGCCTCTCGTGTCATTACTCCAACCTCTTATTGTTTTTAAAAACAGAAATGGCGAGCACACAGAGGGAAGAAAAACAAACAACCTATGGCTGTACGTTTCCCGTAAACCACAGTGAATACTTCTCATGTACTTGAATGCAAAAGAGTTGTAAGAAATGCTGAATAACCATTAATGAGAATAGCTTGCACAAGTGAATGGAAGTTGCTAGTGACTCTATTGAAGCTCCTGCCAACCATTTCAAAGAAAATAGCTGACTTTTTGTGTTATATTGAATTTATTTTACATAAAATATGTTCCACAACAGGTACACTTTAAATACAAGGAAAATTATGATTTCTTAGCACTACAGAGCTGGGTACAAGAGTCAGGACTAAAATTAAAAGGAGACACACACTATATATATTAAAAAATGGATGGCTGCACTGTCATGGTCTCTCTGTGTCGTGGTCTGTGTGTGTGTCTGTTCAAGTCCTGAGATTGATTTTTACATAAGAGGTACTACTAATGTGGAGACTGACTCCTTGTTTGAGGAGCCTCCTCTCCTCTCTATTTTTTCTCATATTGTATATTTCCTAGGGTTATGCTCCTCTCTATTTTTTCTCATATTGTATATTTCCTAGGGTTATGCTCCTCTCTATTTTTTCTCATATTGTATATTTCCTAGGGTTATGCCCTTAATTACCTCTGTAACCCTTTCTACACTCCTCGTCTAGAATTTTCTGAAGGTGTTTGTTATATATTATGTTAATTAAACAAACTTCATTACTTTGAAAATGGGATCCAAGATGAGCTGGCTGAATGTTCGTGGCAGCTTCTTCCCATCTGGGGAGGTGGCAGACTTGCTGAATTTTCCAGCAGCTGGATCGAAATACCTTAAAAACAGAATTATAGTCAAAAAGAAATCACTGTATCCATTTTTAAACAAATGATGAAAAGATAAATAGTCTATTAAAAAAATAAAATAAAAAATTGTTCTACAGATTACAATGGCTAAAGGACATTTAACATATTATGGCCAGAATGACTGTAATGACATATTATGGTTGGAATTTCTAATAGATATTTGAATCGATTTGGTATTTTGTCCTTTGTTTTCTGCCACTATCCCAATTATTCTAAGTTATATGATGATAAACGGCACTGTCAACTACTCCCAGACAGTCTCCTTGTCTCAAAGTAACTACAGTAATTCAGTTATCAAATGTCATTTATTCTAACTATTTGTTTGAACCTAGCTACAAACAGAGGGATGCAGGTACATAACAGGTAATTTTAAAGGAAAGCGGCATTCATTTATTAAGACATTTCCCCTTTATTTGTTGAAGGGCTGAAAAACAGCCGGTGTAACTATTAATTTAATTTACCTTGTCCTCTACCCAGATTTTAAATAACAATGGAATGTAAAAGGACACCCAGACCACTTCAGTTCATTGTAGTGGTCTGGGTGCAATGTCCCAGGCACAATTTTAGAGGAACTGCAATGATTACCGTGCAGGGCTAAGGTGGGGGAGGGAGTAAGGGGGCAGATGGCAGTATAGTGCTAGGAATACAGGTTTGTATTCCTAGCACTATAGTATCACTTTAAGTCATGTTTGAAGATTTACTGTGGATTTATGAGGGCAAACTAGGCACACATCAACATTCACAGTCTACAAAGTGGTCCTGAATGTTCTTGTTTAGCAGACATGCTCACGGTATAGAGAGTAGGGGCAGAAGGGAGATTTAAAATTCCCTTATTAACGAATACAAAGTAATTTTTTACTTAGTATTAGTAAACGTGACTGAAAGACCAAAATTGGTCTTTCAGCCTTTTGGTAGACAGCTCCCTAATACTGTGGAAATTGGGGAGCTATTTACTAAGCAGCTGCAAGATGCAGCCCTGGCACGAATAGGATCGGCATATCATTCATTCAAGCGAAATGCTGTTTTGAACAGAAAATACTCATTCGGTTAGGATGGAATTTGGTAGTTTCGCCGGCGTCCTGTCTAAATGACAGGACATTCGGGAATAGTGAAAGGAGGCATTGCAAGATCACCAAGAAAATAGGGAGTATTGTGGGAAAATGTATTGGACCAACAGGAAGTGGGTCAAAGCTGGTCAATGGTAGGAAAAATACATAAGACAATTAAGTCCCTACTTTGTCTTATGTTTTAAGGAAAATTAGATAAGATAGGTAGAAAAGAAGAACAGATCCTGAGAGAGGAAGAGAAAATGAAGCAATTGGGTAAGTTAAGTTTGGCATGACAGTGCCGCTTTAAAGGACCACTATAGTGCCAGGAAAACATACTCGTTTTCCTGGCACTATAGTGCCCTGAGGGTGCCCCCACCCTCAGGGTCCCCCTCCCGCCCGGCTCTGGAAGGGGAAAGGGGTAAAAACTTACCTTTTTCCAGCGCTGGGCGGAGAGCTCTCCTCCTCCTCTCCGCCTCCGTTACGCCCCGCCGGCTGAATGCGCACGCGCGGCAAGAGCTGCGCGCGCATTCAGCCGGTCTCATAGGAAAGCATTTACAATGCTTTCCTATGGACGCTGGCGTGCTCTCACTGTGAAAATCACAGTGAGAAGCACGCAAGCGCCTCTAGTGGCTATCAATGAGACAGCCACTAGAGGATTAGGGGGAAGGCTTAACCCATTAATAAACATAGCAGTTTCTCTGAAACTGCTATGTTTATAAAAAAATGGGTTAACCCTAGAAGGACCTGGCACCCAGACCACTTCATTAAGCTGAAGTGGTCTGGGTGCCTAGAGTGGTCCTTTAACTACAGCAGGTAGTATTGGTTATGGTGCTTGCAGTGTTCCTTTAACCCTTTAAGGACACATGACATGTGTGACATGTCATGATTCCTTTTTATTCCAGAAGTTTGGTCCTTAAGGGGTTAAATAACTTAAGCACAACAATGAAACAGCTACATAGCTGAAAAGAGACTTGCGTCCATCAAGGTCAGCTGTCCTCACATATATTTTTGCGGTTGATCCAAAAGAAGGCAAAAAACCCAGTTTGAAGCGCTTCCAATTTTGCAACAAACTAGGAAAAAATTCCTTCTTGATCCAAAAAAAAAAAATTGCAGTCAGATGTCTCCTTGGATCAAGCAGCTATTATCCCACTAATTAGAAATTATATCCCTGTATGTTATATTTTTGTATTTATCCAATTGCTGTTTAAACAAACTCTAATAAAACCACCTCTCAGGCAGAGAATTTAATATCCTTATTGCTCTTTCTGTAAAAAACACTTTTCTTTGCCTTAGATGAAATCTCCTTTCTTCCAGCCTAAATGTGTGACCTTGTGTCCTACGTCAAGTTCGGTTAATGAATCGATTTCCAGATAATGGTTTGTACTGGCCCCGAATATAATTGTATAGAAACATAGCATGTGATGGCAGATAACCAGTCGGCCCATCTAGTCTGCCCAATTTTCTAAATACTTTCATTAGTCGCTAGCCTTATCTTATAGTTAGGATAGCCTTATGCCTATCTCACGCATGCTTAAACTCCTTTACTGTGTTACCCTCTACCACTTCAGCTGGAAGGCTATTCCATGCATCCACAAACCTCTCAGTAAAGTAATACTTCCTCATATTATTTTTAAACCGTTGCCCCTAATTTAAGACTATGTCCTCTTGCTGTGGTAGTTTTTCTTCTTTTAAATATAGTCTCCTCCTTTACGGTGTTGATTCCCTTTATGTATTTAAATGTTTCTATCATATCCCCCCTGTCTCGTCTTTCCTCCAAGCTATACATGTTAAGATCCTTTAACCTTTCCTGGTAAGTTTTATCCCGCAATCCATGAACCAGTTTAGTAGCCCTTCTCTGAACCCTCTCTAAGGTATCAATATCCTTCTGAAGATACGGTCTCCAGTACTGTGTACAATACTCCAAGTGAGGTCTCACCAGTGTTCTGTATAATGGCATGAGCACTTCCCTCTTTCTACTGCTAATACCTCTCCCTATACAACCAAGCATTCTGCTAGCATTTCCTACTGCTCTATTACATTGTCTGCCTACCTGTATAATGTTATGTCCCCTCAGAGGCGCCATTTTTCCAAACTAGAGATTTAACCTTTTTAGCCTTTCTTCGTAACTAAAATGCTCCATTCCTTTTATCAATTTTGTAACTCGTCTCTGCACTTTTTCTAGTGCCATGATATACTACTTTAGAACAGGTGCCCAAAATTGCACAGCATATTCAAGGTGTGGTCTTACCAGCGATTTATAAAGAGGCAAAATTATATTTTCATCCCGAGAATTGATGCCCCTATTTATACATGACAAAACCTTACTGGCCTTAGCAACTGCAGATTGACATTGAATATTGCTGCCTAATTTGTCGTCTATAACAATTCCCAAATCCTTCTCGTGTGTGGTTATCCCTAGTTCACTACCACTTAGGGTGTAAATTGCTTGTGCATTCTTAACCCCGAAGTGCATAACTTTGCATTTCTCTACGTTAAATTTCATCTGCCATTTTAGTGCCCAGTCCCCCAATCTATCCAAATCCCTCTGCAGCAAGGCAATATCCTGCTCACATTTTATTACTTTACAAAGTTTTGTGTCATCTGCAAACACTGATACATGGCTTCCAATACCTATTTCAAGATCATTTATAAAATAGAGTCACTAAAATGGGTTTCTAGCATATTTAGGTTGTGTGTGTGTGTGTGTATATATATATATATATACACACACACATATACACACACACACACACACACACACTCACCACACACATTGGTTCTATATATAGTGTGAGTAATGATTGAGCGTAACAATCTTCATTTGAACACTGCGCTACGCATCCGCCCACCATGGTTCCTTCTAACTATATAGCGGTCACATCCTGTTCTGCGGAGATGTCTGGCCTTGGCTTCTGGTATGCAGTGCTCTTTTTACAATTATTGTTTAGTTTTTCTTTGTTTTTCTAGTTTTCTTTATGCTGGGTTTTCTGGGTTCATTCCTTTACTTCGTTCCTGGAATTCCCAGTCTCCTTGATTCCTTTAAAATGTTTGTTTTTTGTTGCCACACCGTTCCTTTGCCATTTTATCCTTTGTTTCAATCTGGTCCTGCAAGCAGTGGTCTCATTACCTCTGCTCCTTTCTTTGCAGTTAAGTACTGTGTGTTTTATTGTTTATTTAGTCATGCATATCTAGGCAGTAAGGACCCACCGTAATTGGAGTACTTTGGCACAGTGGTGGGCTGCATACATCTTGGCTATTTATGTATGTCTAAATCTCCAATGTTTTACATATATAGTACTTGGGTATGTTTCCTCTTGTTTGTTTTTTATTTTGCCTTCCCAGTTCATGTACAGTCCTGTCCTGCCCTGCCCTGTTCTCCTCATGTCTTGTGTACATGTTCTGGGTTATGCTTTCTGTCCTGCTCTGGTTCTGGGTTCTTCTAGTCTTAGTTAGGTGCCTGTTTTAGTCTTGCCTTGTTTCTGTACTGGATACATATCTGCCGCAGAGCCTCCCTATTCATATCCTGGGAAGTCTGCATATTTTCAGAAGCTGCATCAGGGCCCTGGTATGTGGCCGCACAAACATTGGTGCTCAACACCAAGGGGAGTGTGGTGAGGGTAACAAGGGGCTAACCCCAAACGGAGCATCAAATACGCCAGACAAAAAAGTATTTCCTCTAAGCAAAGAAGAAGTTATAAGCCCTCACCAATAAAAGTTACATAAAAACGTTATTAGTTAACTGATTAAAAATGAACGATCGTCAAATACTACTTAAAACTAGGAGCTGTCTCGTAGACCAATAGAACAATTGAAAGCTTTAAAGGATGATTAATTCCCATGTATTTAAATCCATTGATGGAAAGGTGAGCTATAAGACTACCTTTGCATGGATATATAAATGAAGCCAAAAGGTGCTTCCAAAACTATAGGGATGAGTAATTTGAGAGCAAAGATATTAAACTTGCACCACTAGATTAAACAATTCAAAATCCGTGATTATTAAGGTGAATTAGGACTTTCAGCTAAATCACTCTAGTGGGCCATAATGCTTAACATTAACCCTCTCTTAGCAGGCAGGCAAAATTGAATTAGACATACTAAATTCAGTCTTAAATATGAGATAAACCCTTCACAAACTTTGATTCATTCCAAAATCAGACACGAATATAGTATTACACCGAATACACCTAATGACCAAGCAAGAGAGGTTAGAATCAGTAAAAACCCAGCCCACTAAACAAGAGTCCATCTATATATATACACACACACACACACACACACGTAATAAGGAAAGAATGAGGCAAAATGTGCACACAGTACTACCTTTGTGAGGAATGTGAGTAAACAAGCATGTAATGCATGTTTAGAGAATGTGGGAATGTACGCAATACCGGGTTTTCAGGAAAATGGATATAAGTCACTATATCTTTGTAATCTGTACAGGAGTAGATATATAGGTAACGCTCAATTATGGGATGTATATAGTTACATAGTTACATAGTTGAAAAGAGACTTGCGTCCATCAAGTTCAGCCTTCCTCACAAATGTTGTTGCTGTTGATCCAAAAGAAGGCAAAAACCTAGTCTGAAGCGCTTCTAATTTTGCCACAAACTAGGAAAAAAATCCTTCTTGACCCCAAAATAGCAGTCAGATGTCTCCTTGGATCAAGCAGCTATTACCCCACTAATTAGAAATTATATCCCTGTATGTTATGTTTTTGTAAATATTTATCCAATTTCAGTTTAAACATCTGTATGGACTCTGACAAAACCACCTCTTCAGGCAGAGAATTCCATATCCGTATTGTTCTTACTGTAAAAAAAATGTAGGTATATGTATGTGATATATGTTTAAGAAAAACAGGCAAACATGTGAAGTTGGGTCTTATTTGAAGACCTGCTCTATAAAGTCCCACCTAGAGGATAGAATGGGAAGTCCTACATGTTCAAACATAGAGTGGGGTTACATGGACAGGTTAAAGGAGCTTAAGATGTATAGCTTGGAGGAAAGACGAGACGGGGGGGATATGATAGAAACATTTAAATACATAAAGGGAATCAACACAGTAAAGGAGGAGACTATATTTAAAAGAAGAAAAAAGTACCACAACAAGAGGACATAGTCTTAAATTAGAGGGACAAAGGTTTAAAAATAATATCAGGAAGTATTACTTGACTGAGAGGGTAGTGGATGCATGGAATAGCCTTCCAGCTGAAGTGGTAGAGGTTAACACAGTGAAGGAGTTTAAGCATGCGTGGGATAGGCATAAGTCTATCCTATCTATAAGATAAGGCCAGGGACTAATGAAAGTATTTAGAAAATTGGGCAGACTAGATGGGCCGAATGGTTCTTATCTGCCGTCACATTCTATGTTTCTATGTCCTAGAAACCTGGTTAATATTTTTATGCTAGAGAATAATGTTTGTTTGGAGGGGCTTACTATTTAACATTCTGCCAGTGACCAACCAGTGTGTTTGAGTTCTGTCAGTGACACAGCTTGGTAAGTTTTACTCACTTGTCTCCCCAAAGTTTCTTCATCATATCCTCGACTTTCTTTGCACGTTCAAGTGGACTGAGCTGTGCCTTTTCACCTTTGGCAGCAAATTTGGCAACGTACATTTCTGCAAACTGCTTCAGGGTAAAAGCCCAACCATGCAGACCAGATCCAAAACCCACAGTACCAATAACAGGGTCTATCTACAAGTAACAATGTCATAATGAAGTCTTGTTTGTATCACAGGGGGAAAAAAAATGAAACAAAAACAAAAAACAAAGCCAACAAATCGAAATAAATCAGCAATTTTCTTAAGACAGCGAGAAAATAGAAGTAATTGCCAAACTGGAACTTTCCTGATGAATCTAGGATCATTTGGAGGTATTTGCCTGGTTGGGTAGAAATTTAGGCTATGAATTTAGCCACCACTTCGAAAACAAGTGGATGACATTGATCTGACCTTCAAGGAAAAGTTCTGTTTCTAACCAACTTAAAACACAAATAGAAGGATTGTAGGCACTGTGTCTATTTCATCTCATTGAACTGGTTAGAGTATCAGGAGATCCCTGGTGCCATTGTTTTCATTCAGCATTAAAAAGTTTTCAATGTTTTTATATTTTGTTAAATGAGAGTTCCCAGCAGCTCATCCTGTCAGTGCTGATTTGGTAACGAGGAAGTATTAGCCTGAGCAGCATTGGGCAGCTGTGATTGATTGAGAGTGTCAGCTGACACCCGTTAGCCTATCAGAACTGATATGAAGGGTAAGACAACGAGGAAGTCTGTAATCTCTGCCTTAACCGCACCTACATTAGGGGCTGGACTGTGGGTGGCCAGGAATCCTTATTTAACGTTACATTTTTCTAAATGGTTTAAAATTGACTAGAGGGATAACGAATGGGAACAACAGGCACTATAGCCAATTCACTATATTCTTACAGTGACTACAATGCCTCTTTAAATATAGATAAGATAAGATGTCCTTACTGTTCCCATTTTTAAACACCATTAATCTTCAGGACCAGGAAGCTAGAAGAAAGTTAAAAGATACGTGGCGCTCACCATAATATTCCCCATAGGGCCAGTCTCTCCCTCTCCATACGTAGAGATGATCACATTGACATTCTCCACGATGCGCTGGAAGGTCAGATACAGCTCCTCAGGTTCCAGTTGCAACTCGAGCAGAGCTCGGTCCATCTTGTTCATCATGAGCACGGGTTTGATCCTCTCGGCAATTGCCTGCCGTAAAACGGTCTCTGTCTGAACACAAACACCTAGAACAGTGAAAAAGACAAAGGTCTCAATGTGTATTATGTTGGAAGAACAATCAATTAAAGGACCACTATAGTGCCAGGAAAACATACTCGTTTTCCTGGCACTATAGTGCCCTGAGGGTGCCCCCACCCTCAGGGACCCCCTCCCGCCCGGCTCTGGAAGGGGGAAAGGTGTTTAAACTTACCTTTTTCCAGCGCTGGGCGGAGAGCTCTCCTCTTCCTCTCCGCCTCCATTACGCCCCGCCGGCTGAATGCGCACGCGCGGCAAGAGCTGCGCGCGCATTCAGCCGGTCTCATAGGAAAGCTTTTACAATGCTTTCCTATGGACGCTGGCGTGCTCTCACTGTGAAAATCACAGTGAGAAGCACGCAAGCGCCTCTAGTGGCTGTCAATGAGACAGCCACTAGAGGATTAGGGGGAAGGCTTAACCCATTCATAAACATAGCAGTTTCTCTGAAACTGCTATGTTTATAAAAAAATGGGTTAACCCTAGAAGGACCTGGCACCCAGACCACTTCATTAAGCTGAAGTGGTCTGGGTGCCTAGAGTGGTCCTTTAATGGAAAAAAATAAATAAATCAGTAAGGATTTAAACCATACGTTTAATAACATCAGAATATTAAAAGGAATACTCTAAACCCCTAAATAACCGTAGCGCTGATCTGCCTTAAAGCAGCACTGTACACCCTCCTAAAAATCGAGTTATATCTTTAGTAAAATACTGATTATATCTTTATGAAATACTTATTATGATTGTGTTGGAATTTCACTGAAATTCCAACACAGTCAAGAGATATACAGAGACAAAATAGGGACGACTTTGTCTCTGTATTTTTCTTCTGCTTGACTTTTCTTGACCCAGATGGGATCCCCAATTGACCTTAATGCGGTCATCTCGCTCAGTGATGTTGGCACCCACAAGGACCATGCTGGACCCAGATGGCGGCACCCACGTAGGATAGGATCTGGTAAGTAATTGCAGACCCCCTCGACCACCAGCGATGTCACGGCCGGCAGACTTTGCGAATCTGAAGTCCCTAAATGGTGGCAGAGCTGCTTTAAGGGTCAACAGTGTTCCATCTTTCTTACTCTTTCTTACCTTGAAATCAACACTTTTATAAAGTTCCTAAAGTGCACCCTCATGGCTGTCAATGAGACAAGCGAGTGCTCTTCCGGATTGCTTTGTGCCGTATGAGAAGCAATGGATTCAAAAGATCTCTATGCGAAGCATTGTCAGCACAGCAATTGTTGCACGTACACCCTACTGCCCAATGTTTCCCGATGAGAAGCATTGGATTGACCAGGAAGTTGTCAAAAGTAAGGATTTTCCAGAGTATTTTACTAGAAAGGGAGGTGGGGGCATTATTAATAAATGTATTTATTACTAACTGTAGTGTTTTAATAATACCATTTATTTATCTGCTCTGCTACAACTGGCAAACACTAGTGATATGATGTTCTTGCTGTTTCTGTATATGATGTCAAGGTTATCTAACTTTTTTGTTTAAATAAACGCAATGGCAGAACCCATCTGGACTCTAATGGAACAATAAACGGCCCATGAAAGTCAGTAACAGGGTGCATGGCATGCACATACTCTGGGTGCACACTCCACAAAAGATCCTGGTTCTTAAACAGCATGACCAAAAATATAGTGATGCAAATATTGACAACCAATTCACCAACTTCTGGGTATGTATACATTAAAAACTGTTTCACATCTATAAAAGTGTACACCACCATGGCATTTAAATTTCTGCAGACATCTTGGAAGGCACCTTTATCCATGTATTCTGCAGGAAAATAAATGCCAGTAATTCCTGAAATCTCCATATATTTTAGATGACACCCATTTTACATTCAACAGGTCTGCTCACCGGATACACAGTCCACCACCACAAGAGCACCATCTGTGACTCGGAGAGCAGCGGTCACTTCAGAGGAGAAGTCCACATGTCCTGGGGAGTCTATAAGGTTAATGAGGAAACCAGACCCATCTTTACATTGCTTGATAAAGGCCAAGTCATTTTCTGAGAGTTCATAGAACATGGAAATAGCCCTACAGAAAGATAATTGTAATAAATGAACAAACAACATGACTTTGAACCATAAAGCAATACTTACAACATCATGATAGCTTTAAGTAAATATTTTCAACATATTACTTTTTGGAAGAAAAAAAAAAAAACTCATCTTTTTTTTTTAGATATTCACAACACATCTACTACTAGTAATTAAAATGGAGAAGTTAAAGATATGGTAAATTGGAGTTTATGATTTGGGGTTCATATTTACATGGTAAATGCACTCTGATCAGTTCTGCTAATGTATTTGAGACAATCTTGATACAATGACCAAACGAATTACAGAAGACAAGTACGATTGAGTGTACCTTCAAACTGGATAGAGTGGGGAGACAGTAGATCACCAGATCTTGAACTACAAGTCACATGATGCTTTGCTAGCCTTTAGTATGGAGTTTAAAGGGACACTGTAAGCATTATAACCATTTCATCTCATTGAATTAATTACAACACCTGGAGTCATTTGTTACTATCACTCCATTCAGTGTTAAACAAACAGTTACGCATTAATAAGGATCCCTGCTCAACCACAACACAGCCCTCCACTGATGGTTGGACCAAGGCAGAGATTACACACTTCCTTCTAGTCAAAACAAATCACACCACAAATGGGTGCTTTGATAGTCTCAACTGACACTCTTACCCAATCACAGCCACCCATTGATGCTTAGACTAATGCCTACTCATTATCCCATGCAGCACAAAGGGAATGGGCTGCTGGGGACTTTATTAAAATGGTTAAAACACTGAATGGAAGGACAGCGCCAGGGGACTCCAGACACTATATTAACTTTGCTAAGATAACGCAGTTGCACTAAATACGCTTTCCGCCACAATTAAGATTTTAGGAACCAGCTTAAATTAATGAATTTTTGTTAAAAATAGAGTAAGATATGTTTCCATAGAGATGATAATACTATAGCAGAAAATGTTATGTGCCAGCAGGAATATTTTAAGATCCGTGGCAATGTGGCCCCTGGGATTTGTCCATGCATGGCTGCAACTATTAAGAAGTCATTATATACAGAAAGAAATCAACTACATTCAGAACTGAAAATAGTGAGGCAAATAGGATTTGAAATGTGTGAACAGTCTAATATAACTACTGTGTAATTGTACATATTAGTCATATATAAGGGACATTTGACATGGGGCAGCTAGGACTGTGTGCAATGTCTTTTTTTGGTGCCTTCAGCTCCCAACTGACAAGGAGAGGAAGCAGACGTAATGTGAAGAGGAGTCACGTTTCAGAATGAAGTTCCTATACATAGCAAGTTCACAAAGTTCACAAGAGGAGAACTGCCTTCTGATCACACGCACCCTAACTTTTTACTGCACGACTTCGCTAGGATTTCCCCATTCTAGGGCATGCCTGCTAGCATTGGAGAGGGCAGCACTGTTGTGACCATACAAGGGAGTGTCATCCTGCAAGGCAGACGACCAAATACTGCTCATATGCAGAGCACCGCGGAAAAGCATTGATATGGCTCTATTTTATTTTAAAGGGACACTGTAGGCACCCAAACCACGTCTGTCCATTGGAGTGGTCTGGGTGCCAACTCCCACTACCCTTAACCCTGCAAGTGTAATTATTGCAGTTTTTTTTATAAACTGCAATAATTACCTTGCAGGGTTAACTCCACATCTAGTGGCTGTCTACTAGACAGCCAATAGAGGACACTTCCTGCTTTATAGCACAGGTTTTCTGTGCTAGAGCATCGCTGGACGTCCTAACGCTGTGTGAGGACCTCCAGCTTTGCTAAATTCCCCATAGGAAAGCACTGAAAAGCATGCGCATTAGGTCTCCTCAGCCAGTGCCCACCGACTGACGTAAGGAGGAGGAGGAGCGGCGGCGAGCAGAAACCACCGCCGAGGGACATCGGCGGGGGTCTCAGGTATGTGACTGAAAGGGTTTTCACCCCTTCAGCAACCGGGGATGGGGGGGGGGGGGGGAGGGAGAGGGAACCTACAATGCCAGGAAAAAGGATTATTTTCCTGGCACTGGAGTGTCCCTATAATTTACAAACACACTTATAACACTCTTTATGTGCACACCAGAAAGGAGAAAAATAAAACCCAAAGGAAGGTAATGTTTTACTTCCTTTTACACCACAGCAACTGAAAAAAGGTGCATTAGATAACAACATTAAACACAAAGGCAGCTTTTGGTAAATGCATACACACACACACACACACACACACACACACAAAGATAGAGTATTACAGAAGAAAAATAAAAGTTAATCTACTTTGTTTTCTTTTAGTGAAGTTTCCCGAATACCTAGAGCTCAAGTCAATTCATCATCAGTAAAGAACATAAGCTAAATATAGCACAAGCGCAGGGCTGGAGATTGAAACTGATCCTGCTGAGGAAGACATTAGGATATTCAATCACACTGCAGAGGGTGCGGGTTTGGGTACAGGCACTGATTCAGCACGTGTGCCTTATCCAGAGCAAGGGAGCAAAGAATATAGAAATGCACTGATAAGGTTAAACACTTTAACTGCAAAAAAGGAAAAATACATAATTTGTTCTCAAAAGCCATCAACATAGCAGGACACAGCAGCATCCACAGCAATGTTCACCATCAACATAACAAGAGACAGCAAAATCCACAGCAATGTTCACCATCAACATATAGCAGGACACAGCAGCATCCACCAATTGCAGCATTCACAGCAATGTTTACCATCAACATAACAAAAGACAGGAGCATCCACCAACTGTAACATTCACAGCAATGTGTGCCATCAACATAACAAGAGAGCAGCATCCACAGCAATGTATGCCATCAACATTACAAGAGACAGCAGCTTCCAGCAAGTGCAGCATTCACAGCAATGCTTACCATCAACATATAGCAAGAGACAGCAGCATCCACCCACGGCAATGTTGGGAGCAGTTTTTACCATCATTTGACAAGAAAGAATTGCACAATCACTAAACCTCAGGGTAATTAAAAAACGAACTGAAGTTGCATTACATGGAATTCAGTTTATCACCTACTTCCACTGACAGCTGATCACATGGAGCACTACTGACCACACCAGCTGAGAAGATCAACACAAGGTCTTCTGGTGTGTGATTTCAAAGATGGTGTTTTTATTAACGGATTCAAGAGTGTTAATAAAGTTGTATCTGCCATGGTACACACTAGTACACAAAAATAGACCTCGACAAATCTAGAAAAAGACTTAAAAATAAAATGTATTATTTGTCCCTTAACCCACTTGTCAATCAATGTTTGTTATTAGACCTCTATGCTGGCAGCATACATGTCTATATAACTGAGAGCAGGAGAATTCTATTACAGGGGGTTCTCCTGCTCTCTTCACATAACTATTCCCCTGGCAAGCATAGGGAATACACAAAACAAAAAATAAATAAAAAATATAGAAGTTATCACAAAGAAATGTTTACGGTCTTAGGAATACATTAAAGGACATACTTGTTTTCCTGGCACTATAGTGCCCTGAGGGTGCCCCCACCCTCAGGGTCCCCCTCCCGCCGGGCTGGATGGAGAGGAAGGGGTTAAACTTACCTCTTTCTCCAGCGCCGGGCAGGGAGCTCTCCTCCTCCTCGGCTGAATGCGCATGCGCGGCTCATTCAGCCAGTCCATTTACAATGCTTTCCTATGGACGCTGGCGTCTTCTCACTATGATTTTCACAGTGAGAAGCACGCAAGCGCCTCTAGCGGCTGTCAAGAGACAGCCACTAGAGGCCGGATTAACCCTATTATAAACATAGCATTTTCTCTGAAACTGCTATGTTTATAAAAAAAAAAAGGGTTAACCCTAGCTTAACCTGGCACCCATACCACTTCATTAAGCTGAAGTGGTCTGGGTGCCTATAGTGGTCCTTTAAGGTAAACGTCATATGACAGGTTTGCTTTAAGAATTAATTATCTATTGCATGTTAAAAACAAATCTTTCAGTGTGCAAATGTTTAAATGGAAGTCATTGAACCTACTTGTATTAATTTTAAAATTACATTTCTTTAGCATTTAAAAGAATATATATAACATATCCAGAAGCAAAAAAATGTAAAATAAAATAGTCGAATCTCTTTAATTCACTGATATATTGAGCTATTGTTGTCAGCAAACATGATTAGTTTGAATTTGTAAATCATTTTCCAAGTAAGTTTTCTTAAGAGCAGAAAATTATATTCGTTGTGTTCAAATAACTTGCTGGTACTTACGTGGACTTAATAGTGATGCAGCGTTCCTGCTCATCCTTGCGTGTGTCCGTAAAACGTGTCTCCCCTGCTCTGGCAGATGCAATGATACCAGCTTTGCTCACCAAAGAGTCGGTGAGTGTGGACTTGCCATGGTCAACATGAGCAATCACAGACATATTTCTAATGTTGGACTTCTTGTCCATGATCGCTCGGATCTGGTCTATGGTGAAGTTCACCTGGAAGAAGAAGCAAATTGGTTTAAAATATTTACAAGGATTTTGGAGACAACTAATTCTGCAGCAAACAACACAGTAAACAGACATACATGGACACAGAGTGCACATATTTTGTTAAAGGATCACTCTACATTTATTTATAATGCCGTAGCGTTGCTGAATCTCCCAGGAGCCCTTTTCTTTTAAGGCAGCCTGTTTGTCACCACGCCACCCCACCCCAAAAAAACAACAATTTCATTAAGATAAAATCTTTATAATATGTTCATAAATACTTCACAAAAGTTCCAAGCCAGTCAAAACATATCATAAGAAAAGTTAGGACTACTTTGCCTTATGTATTTTTCCTATGCCAGACAAAAGCTAGAGCCACTGCTGTCAAGCTTTCGCAAACCCTTACCCATCACTAGTGATGCTTGAGGGTAAAAAGGTTCCGTCTATGGAGAATCAGCAGAGTTCTCCATGGTTGTTAATGTTGTACTCTTGTGCATGCCTAAATTTAGTCCAGCTAGTCCTTACTTTGCGACTTACTTGCTTTACGACTGCTCGGACTTATGACAAGCTCTCTAGCGCAGGGATTCCACGCGTTAGAGAGCTGGTCTTTGCTTGGGGAATTTCCCCCAAACATAGATTTAAGGGATTCCCTGCTCTAGAGCTGCTCTCTAGCGCCTTCTCACTTACCGACCAATTCATTTTACGACCGAGTTGTAAGAACGGAACACGTCAGTAAGTAAGGATCACCTGTAGATGACAGGATCCTTCAGCCATATACATGCATCTTTGCTTTGGGCAGTGTTTGAAAACTGGAAATTAGTCTGTGAGATCCTCCTTGCCTCACTCCCAGCTCAGAAGCAGGAAAGTAGAGTAGGGGTAGGCAACCTTTGGCACTCCATTTATATGTGAAGTGCATGTCCTCTCTTTTCATTTTACAAAAAGTGCAGATTTTGATAGAAACTGCCACTTTTATACACACCCTTTTGTTATTCAAGTCTGGCTGTCGATCAGACAGAATAATAATTTATGTTATATTATGTTGGCACATCTATGGTAAGTTAGCAGAATAGCTGTGATCACAAGATTTATTACATGAGATTATTGGTATAGTTTATCTTCCCCTCCCCAATATTAAAGCCAACTCCAATTCGTTTGACAAGGAAATTATTAAGGATGCAGAGAGACATGCAGATATGAATGACAAGCTGATCAATAATTGTACTCATACGCCAAATACAAATGAATCATTACTGCAAAGGCCACAACATCAGATTGAAAAGAATTTCATCAGAAGAACAAATTCTACAAAGCAGACTGAAAGAAATGACTAGATGTGAAAAGCGGGGTAAGGCAAAAATGGCCTCAATGAAAATTGGAAAGAAATGTCAGATTACGATTGAATCACATAAAGGATATGGCAGCTAGAAGATTTGGGTCATAAATTGGAGTACACTGCAAGGATGTATCTCACATAAGAAGAAAAATAAAGTATACATTTAGAGTGGCTGTCACCTCAAACTTGCCTAGCTTCTATCGTTTCATCTTCTAGAACCTGTTCATTTCTGATCTACTTTTCTTTAAAAAATAAGACCAATTTAGGACAACTTTGTTTAATGAATTCTTTCTACACTTACCTGGCAAATGGGTTAAAGGAACAGTTTAGGCACCATAACAACTTAATTAATGAAGTTATGGTGCCAAGATGTTCCTTGCACTGGCTACCTTAATGGGTAAACCATTCTTAAACTGTTTAACCTGAAAGTCTTGGTTCTAGTGCCAAATATCCCAGCCCTTCTGTTTACTAAAGATCTCTAAACTGACAGGTTCTTGCAGAATCAGGCAACGCCGCTGATTGGTGAGAGTGGTCAGCTGATGCTGACATATCATTGAATCCCCCATTCATAAAACTGGCTTGAAAAGAAACGTACCTTTTTCAAGACAGTTTTATGAATGGGAATTCAATGCAGCAATAAACAGGCATTTGAGATTTATGTACAAGTCAAGAAAACCCAGCCATCTGCCCATTAGGACTTCTCAAGTTTAAAAATAATGAATAAACCCTCTCTCTGCCTAAATTCTGCCACTTTTCACAAGAGATATAAATTTCAGAAAAAAAAAAAAAAACTGAAATTCAGAGAGAAATGAAACAGAACACGTGATAAAATCCCCTGTGTCCCAGAATAAATTGTTATACGTTCCGAAATGACAGACAGGAAAAGAAGATTTAATAAAGGGTGCAAAACGGTGTTACACTTTGATAAATCTGCCCTATTGGTTTTTTCTTCTCCTCTCCCTACACTGACAGCCCGTGGCAAAGAACAGAACTTATAACATTGATTGACAGGGAGCCAAGATGGAGGAGCCCAGTTCCAGGATAAAGGATGGTGGATTTCTAAATGAACATTTATCTTTCAGACACATCAGGGCGCTGATAAACAGAATATTTAACATTCTGGGAAGTGACCTTTATATCTAACCTATATAAGAGCAAGGCCGCTAAACACTCTTCAAATCATGAAATACTGAGATCCCACTGGGAACATATCTAAATAATTGATAAAAGCAGGATCACGAACATGTCAATCAACAACCAGTAACCTTTTTTGAAGCAGTGGGTCCATGTTTCCTAGGGTTTAACAAACCCTGCAAACACACTGCAGTGCAGCAGGGTCTGGTTAAATCATTCCTCAATACCTTACTGACCACCATCAAATCAGAGCATCCATTGCACATTGTTGATTTTTATTTATTTATTTTTAAAATTAATTTGAGCCTTTCATTTGTTGCTAATGAAAGATACAAGGCACATGTCCAAATTCCATACAAAGAGTTCACTAAACACTGAATGGTATTGAATAAAAACCTGGGTGACAAAATTTAGGCTAAAATACCCAAGCTATAACCAGAGTAGAGTTGGAGAACTTACCTAACACAGGGGCAGATTCACAGTTGTCCGTTCCAATGCTCTAGAATAGATGCTGCGGACTACATGTCCCATGATACTCTTACAGCTATGACGCTTAAAAGGCATCGTGGGATAAGTAGTCCTCAACATCTGGTTGCCTACCCCTGTGCTATGTGACAGAACTGGCCGCAGAAAGGTTAATAAATATTAATTAACTGGAGGCAGTTTATGAATGTTTTCCATCTTAATTATTTTGAACCTGTACGTTCAAGACCTGACAAATTCCTTGCCTCCTCAAGTAGGGTGCCAGCCTTCACCCTTCATTACTTACCAGCCCATTGCAATTAGAATTAGATGGTTCCATTCCTAGATTCCTCAGGTTAAGCAAAAAGCTCTTACCAGAGCAATAATCACAACATGTGCTGTAGTTGCCATGATAGCTAGAAGGAGAACAACCTGTTTAAGGGTTCTCCTGCTCTAGCCTGTCCATCAACTGTTGGCACACATGCAGCTGATTGACAGGACTGTATTTCTCAAATAGAGGCATACCCCACTTTTAAGTACACAATGGGACCAGAGCATGTATTTAAAACGAAAATGTACTTAAAGTGAAGCAATACCTTTTTTCACTTCCCAATGCATGTACTGCATTGCAATAGTAATTTACAGGCATAACTGATACTGCAACTGCAGATTTCCAGTGATTTTATTTCCAGTAAAAAGAAAAATCTCATTCCAGATTGTACCATTTATCTTTAATGTTTTACCCATCTGACAACCTTAAACTGGGAAGAAAAGTAAAATAAACCTGCCCACTGGGCCATTTTCTGTCAATACACTGCCAATTTGGATTTGTTAGCAGCTTATTCGCACACTTTATTGAGAAACACCTCTTCATCACTTTAAGCATTTATGGTTTAACTTTAAATCCTCAGAATTGTGGCTAATGCAGCTAAGCTACTAAGTCAAAGTTATAGAAAATGGCTAAACCCTTTCACTGGATTGCAGAATATGGACAATGTAGGGGCAGAATATATATATATATATATATATATGTTCAGTTATGAGTAGACATTATAAATTTGAGATGATTAACCTGTGCCATGTCAGAAGGTGTGAACATTTCTAGCCCCAAAGACACTGAATTGAGCTGCTCTGGGCGAGAATAGAACCTTCCATTTCCGGTTCACTCGCAGACAGAAGAGGCGCAGGTATGTTTGTACTCGCGAGGCACCTTTACGTACACTCGCGGGTATGTCTGTACTCGCGAGTGTACGTAAAGTGAGTGTATGTAAAGCGGGGTATGCCTGTACATGTTTCTTAAAATATACAGATTTATGTAGCTGTAAAACACGTGCCATGACAGGTTGACCCATAAATACTAACTTTTTTCTAAAACAAATGAAACATTAAAAAGTTTACTAAAAGAGCAACATATCATGAAGAGGCGATCACGCTAGGTAGACATTTTCTGCAGTCTAATGCAGAGGTGACTGAAGCATGAAGAAAAATTAACATTCAAAGTAAATATATATATATATTTTAAAAATGATCTTTGTACTTTAGATTTAGCCAACCCCCCATTGTTTAAATAAATAATAAAAATAAATTAAAGGACCACTATAGTGCCAGGAAAACATACTTGTTTTCCTGGCACTATAGTGCACTGAGGGAGCCCCCGCCCTCAGGGTCCCACTCCCGTCGCGCTGGGGGGGAGGAAGGGGTTAATCGCTTACCTCTTTTCCAGCGCCGGTTTCCCTCGGCACTGGGACACTCCTCCCTCTTCTGAAGTCCCTGGCAGAATGCGCATGCGCGGCAAGAGCTGCGCGCGCATTCAGCCAGTCCATAGGAAAGCATTATTAATGCTTTCCTATGGACGCTGGCGTCTTCTCACTGTGAAAATCAGCACGGAAGCACCTCTAGCGGCTGTCAATGAGACAGCCACTAGAGGCTGGATTAACCCATAGGTAAACATTGCAGTTTCTCTGAAACTGCTATGTTTACTGCAAAAAGGGTTAAACCTAGATGGACCTGGCACCCAGACCACTTCATTAAGCTGAAGTTGACTGGGTGCCTATAGTGGTCCTTTAACCCATAATCCGGCTATGAGACATTTGTTCTCACTGCAGCTACTCCTCCCACTGTGAGATCATCAGGGATGATGAGCTCTGGACCAATTCACATAGAGAAGAATTGTGGATTGCCTGCGTGGCAATCACTGCAGTCTGCCAATCAAATGATTCTCTAGTAGCGGTGCTTGGAATCATCACGCTGCGTGTTCCAAAACATACATACACATCTCTGCAAGTACATATACCAATTATAGACTGTGTTTGATGGGTATGTTTAAGATGTATGCTGGAGTCACCATTTAAATCATCGAGGTTGACAGTAAATTAACAGAACACAATTTCATATTAATCTCAGAGGCAATTTGCAATATATGTTACATATCAGGTTCAAGAGACAAAATAAACAAACAGAAGCCAAACCTAGAAAGGAAATAATATCTTAATATTTCCATAAAGGGGAATTGTGGAGCTCTAACTCCAGAATTTTAGGCCAAAGTAACTGAACTATAAAATTCTCCAAATCAGTTATATCTTCAGGTAGGCTACTCTGGTCTACTACTCACACTAATTAACACTTTAGAGAATATCCCAGATAGTTGTAATTAATAATAATACTGTCATCAGTGGGTTAATTCTACAGCCTGTGTTACGCAAGCTGAATGGATTCTGTTTGGCCCAGGAGAGAGTATTTGAGCTCTAAAGAACATCCCAGATTTTAAAGCTGTCTAGTGCACTCGCCTAGAATAATCTATACCTTACATCTGCCAAGATAACAAAAATTTCCTGTTTCTGCCTTAACACAAACAGCATTGTTTGGCGTAATAGTAGATATTTATTAATAGCATTGCCGAGCTCGCCATCAACTGTAACCCTATCTGTCTCGCTGGCCCTTAAAGGGTTTTTACTTTCCACTAGATATGAAACCCGATACATGACAGGTGGACACATTTCCAGCAAGTGGACAGCAATATGTCTGGTGACAGGGACGCCATGCAGAAAGGATTCAATGTTCTATGACATTAAGAAACACACCCAAGCCAAATATCTGGCCCTTTAATCAGGCTTGCTTATAGAAGATTCATTTTTCAGGGCACCAATGACTACACAAAATTCTTTAAGTGTCTCAAAAACAAAGAGAAATCGGGTTAATCCCTCAATATCAAATATTGTTAACTATAGAGGGATGTTCTTCAACCCTTCTGATGTCTTAGGTACCTATACATTACATAGGAGGATATATTATTATTTTATTATTTATATAGCGACAAATTCCGTAGCGCAGTACAATATATTTACCCTTCCAATAACACAGTGATCATCTATTTGTATACAGGAATGTATGGTTAACCCTTCTAAAGGCAGGAGGCAGCGATCTATTATTTAATTGGATTTTCAATGTTATCCTTCTAATGGCAGAAGGCAGCTATTTATTATTTAAGGGGATTTTCATTGTAACCCTTCTAGTGGCAGCTATCCATTATTTAAGGGGATATTCCATTTAACTGTTCTAGTGACAGAATCCATTATATAAAGTAGCTATTTTGTTTAACCCTTGTAAAGACACAGTTTTAGAATTGGGGGCCATGGTCCCTGGGAAAGGGGGATACCCAGTAGTCACAGTGCCCTTTGCCCTAGCCAGACACAAGGATGTGATTTTTATTACCCCTGCTAGTGACACAAACAGGAAAATTAATGACCCAACCTGTAAAATAATGACGCAATTTGGTGGTGTGTGTGACCTCTGCCCCTAACACCCCCATTATCCTATGACCCCCAACTTCAGCAGCCAGGAGGGCCAGCCCTGTATAAAATGGCCGTATCCCACAGTCAAGGAACAGGATGGGGGTAGGTCCCTTCTCTCCCATCTCCTTATCTATCCGGGCTTCCCAAACAATAAAGAGGGCGCTGCCCTGGTGGCTGAGAGTCCCCAGCCTTTCAGTGAGGGTTCAGTGGGTGTCCAGAACTCACCATGGTTGCGGATGGCTCCGGATTCCCCTGGCAGAACTGGAGCAGAGAGAAGCCTCTCTGATGGAGGACTCGGGAGAGAGAGAAAGAGGGAGGGGGAGAGAGGAGGGGTGACGTCACTCCCAGGCTGGCTGCGGGATAACGGGAGGAGATGACGCGCTGACAGTCAGGAGGGAGAGGGGAAGAGATCAGTAACTATGGCAACGTGATGCAGGCAGCTCTGCAGTAAGGACCACATTCCTGCATTCACCCAGTCAGTCCTGGGTCTGCAGCAATGTACATGGCTCTCACCTAGCATCCGGCATTCATATATATCCAGCAATTGTTTTTTTGTTTTTTTTATAATTTATTATTAATATTTTTTTAGCTAGAACTTGAAAAATTAGCCATGGGTCCTGCACCAGTGAAAGATTTCATTTTATAAAAATATTCTAATTATTATAGTGCTTTGGAAGTGTAAAGTGCTAAATTTAATTAATTTAGTTAATGATAATTTTGATAATGAGATTCCAGAACATCAACACATTTACCTGGTGAATGGGACATCTCTGTAAACATTTTATATTTATAAGGTTAAACACTAAACTTCAAATTTTAGCAAATGAAATCTGAATTTCAAGATAGCTAAGCAAGACGTGCCCACCGGGGAATTGGGGAATTTCTCCTGTAGAATTCGTCCTCTAGCTGTTTTATCCTGAATTTTGCAATTCAGATTAGGTTTGCTAAAATGTGAAGTTTTGTTAGTTATTTATTTTTTTAGCGCTATAACCACTACAGTTTGGGTGTGCTATAGAGGTTATGGTGCCAGGAGTAACCGAGTGCTGTCCGCTGGTAATATGTCAAACTGTCTATAAAACGTTTGGCAGTACCAGGAGCTTTACTCTAAGTTACTTCCATTTTGGTACCGCATCTCTGGTATTTGCTGGAGGTGGGCCATTCAACACATATGGTAAGTTTGGCCTCTCATTCCGGGGTTAATCCAGACACCAAAACCACTTCAGTAATTTGAGTCTGTATGTGCTGCTTTTCGCTATGAAACGCTGCACATGCAGAGTTTAACCTCTAGCAGCGTCATTGGAGTGTCATCCACCAACCTGGAACTTGAGTCAATACTTTGCAACTTTTTTTTGCACAGAATATCATTCATTGGTTTAGAGTGGTCATCTGACACTCTCAGCCAATGAATGGTAATAGTCACAACTTCCAGGTTTTATGGCTCTACAAAAGCCATAAACATGCTATTGGACCACCGAAGAGCATTGGACCCAGCAAGAACCCAGTCAAGGGAAGCAACTTTCCACAAGCTGTGTTCTCATTCTCTTTTTTTACTTAGAAACATAGAATGTGACAGCACATAAGAACCATTCGGCCCATCTAGTCTGCCCAATTTTCTAAATACTTTCATTAGTCCCTGGTCTTATCTTATAGTTAGGATAGCCTTATGCCTATCCCACGCATGCTTAAACTCTTTCACTGTGTTAATCTCTACCACTTCAGCTGGAAGGCTATTCCATGCATCCACTACCCTCTCAGTAAAGTAATACTTCCTAATATTATTTTTAAACCGTTGCCCCTAATTTAAGACTATGTCCTCTTGTTGTGGTAGTTTTTCTTCTTTTAAATATAGTCTCCTTCTTTACTGTGTTGATTCCCTTTATGTATTTAAATGTTTCTATCATATCCCCGTGTCTCGTCTTTTCTCCAAGCTATACATGTTAAGTTCCTTTAACCTTTCCTGGTAAGTTTTATCCAGCAATGTCCTCTTGTTGTGGTAGTTTTTCTTCTTTTAAATACAGTCTCCCCCTTTACTGTGTTTCTATCATAAGACTTCTCTGATCTAGCTCACTCTTAGCATTTCTCTCTCCTTCTCCTCCTCCTGTTATTGCTTATGACTACCAACAGGCCCCTGCTGATTGTGTTAAATATTACCACCCTCTGTACATACTGTACTCACATATATCTGCATATAATGTAGCGGTATGGTCTTTAGCTTTTACACACTGATCAGCTACAACATTAAAAAACACCTGCCTAATATTGTGTAGGTCCCCCTTGTGCTGCCCAAAGAGCAATGATGCGTCAAGGCATGGGCTCCATGAGATCTTTGAACGTGTCCTGTGGTATCTGGCACAAAGACATTAGCAGCAGATCCTTTAAGTCTTGCAAATTGTGGGCTGGGGCCTGCATGGACCGGATTTGTTGTTACAGCACACCCCACACATGCTCAATCGGATTGAGATCTGAGGAATTTGGAGGCCAAGGCAACACCGTGAACTCTTTGGTTTGTCATGTTCCTCAAACCATTCCTGAACAATTTTTGAAGTGTGTCAGGGTGCATTATCCTGCTTAAAAAGGCCACTGCCATCAGGGAATACCATTGTCATGAAGAGGTGTATTTGGTCTGCAACAAACTTAGGTACGTGGTACGTGACAAATAACATCCACATACATGCCAGAACCCAAGGTTTCCCAGCAGAACATAACCCAGAGCATATCACTACTTCCGTCAGCCTTACCTCTTCTAGCAGTGCATTCTGCTGCCATCTGTTCCTCGGTAAATGACCGACACGCACCTGGCCATCCACCTGATCTAAAAGGAAACATGATTCATCAGAACAGGCAACCTTCTTTGATTGCTCCATGGTTTAGTTCTGATGCTTACATCCGCATTGAAGGTGTTTTCGGCGGTGGACCGCGGTCATCATGGGCACTCTGACCTGTCTGTGGCTATACATCAAACTGCGTACTGTGTGTTTTGACACCTTTCTACCGGGGCCAGCATTACGTTTTTCAACAATTTGAGCTACATTTGCTCTTCTGTATGATTGGACCAGACAGGCTAGCCTTCACTCACATGTAAAATAAGCCTTGGGCACCCATGACCCTGGAGTGGGTTTACATGATGTCCATTTTTGTATCAGTGTATGCTATGAATCTTATTCAAAAACAACACGGTTTGACACTTACTTTGCTGTGTTAGTGTGTGTATGTGTATGAATCTGTGCCTGAGTGTCAATGTGTATATGTTTCTGAGTGTAAGTGTTATTGTGAGTATTAGCAAAAAATCATTTCAGGCAGATTATCTGAATCAAATTCCTTTTAATCCACACACAAATGCATTGATTCCTACCTGTGAAGTCTTTGTCAGTGAAGATTAGCGAGTATGCCTGAGCCTGTGCGTGTCAGTGTGTTTGTGAAGGCATGTTAATATGTCTTTGTATGGGTTTCAATGTGTCTATGATTGTCTATTAATGGATCCAGGTTTACTTTAAATCCGCTATGCATTTAATGAATGTTGTTATTTTGTAGCTGGGCCCTGAGGTGTCACCAGTGTCACAATTTGCGTCACTGGCAATGCCAATGATGGGGGGGATACACACGGAAAATGAAAGAGTTGTGTCAGCATGGCATCAAACACACCAGGCCTACTGACACACTCTCTGGCTGGTCCCCAAAACAGAATTCCATGCAGAGAAAACTGCTCAAGCACACTCTACATTGTCTAACCGTACCTGCCGGACAGTGCGAGTGTGTCTCACGAGGCACTTGCACTATGCTGGCTGGGGACAGTTCCCTGGTGTTACTAGGTGTGAGACACCAGGGAATAAAATCAGGACGGCGGGACAGGACCCTAAAATATGGACTGTTCCACCAAGCAGAACAATGGGAAGATATGCATTGTTAAAATTGCTCCTAATATTTCATATTAATAATTAGGCATTGGCCTGAGTGTTTTCTCAGTGTTATCACAATACAGAAATTGACAACCCATTGTATGATGGTAACACTGCCAAAGTTCAGAAAGTCATTGTCATAAAGTGTCACTCCCACTCAGGGCTAAGCATGCGCAGAGCCCATTTGTAAGCCTTTGGTCTATGAGCTCAATGCCCTGAGTGCACTTAGCGCAACGAGAGAGCTATTAATGATATTCCTCAACCTAGGATGGTGGGAAGGACTCCGAATTCAGGATTATAGTAAAGTGCTATAAGTAAAACTTTCTTATTTAAATCTGAAAGCTCCAAGTGGTTATTACAAGTGCTTACTCAACTGAGTAATTATTTGTAAGTTGCTGCTCTTATGTACAGACTACAGTATAAGCTGTGTGTGGAACGTGCTGATGCAGATTGATACATACAAAGAAAATGTGTTCTGTGTGGAAAGTGCTGATGCAGTTTGATCCATACAGAGAGAACGAGCTGTTAGAGGAAAGTGCTGATACAGAATGATGCATACAGGCAATAAGAACTCTGTGTGGAAAGTGCTGATACAGAATGATGCATACAGGCAATATGAACTCTGTGTGGAAAGTGCTGATACAGATTAGAGAATGCAGATAGAACATACTGAAAGACCCATGTGTAGATTCTTGAGGTTATTCTATGGCACATGTTTAAAGGGACTTTCTAAGCACCATAACTACCACAGCTCAGTAAAGTGTTTTTGTTGCCAATGTGCTATGGGCACTGTGCTCCATTTTTCTTTTTAAACAGTGTGAGAGCAATTTGAAAAGAAATGGGGCTTCACTTACACCTAGCCAGCCCCCTCTCCAGCTGGTTTGGCAAGGTGAAGTGGAGATCTTCTAATACTATTGGTGTTAACAAAAACCATGGTGTAAAAACAAAAATGTTTTATTTATTCATTATTTTCCAGGGTGCTGTTTATAACCACAAGAGCCATTAAGTTATAGTAGTTATTCTAAGCATTATAGCTATACTGTACTGTTTTACTAACATGATCAGTATATGTCTTTCACAGACTATGTGGTTGGTATTTTTGGTGTGTTGAACACAGTTATGTTTTCAATGAATGCACAGTTGGTATCACTCCTGTATCTGCTCCCAAATTAGTATTTCAGTATGTAGCTTTATTAATTTTTTGTTTTACCTCCATTTATTTTCTTTAGCTCCTCTGGACTCCATGGTATACAATTATTTACATGTTGTATTCATACAAAAACCATCCACAAACCTTAATTTACCTTTAGTATGTTATCCTTCCTTAAAGGAACACTATAGGCACCCAGACCACTTAAGCTCAATGAAGTGGTCTGGGTTCCAGGTCCCCCTAGTTTTAACCTTGGAGCTGAAAACAAAGCAGTTTCAAAGACATGGCTATGTTTACACTGCAGGGTTAACCCAGCCTCTAGTGGCTGTCTCCATGACTGTCTGTGGGAACAGGGAGGGATGCTTCTT